TACTTGTTTGTTTCATCCTATATGGTTTACTTTGACGTGATTGATTCATGTTCCACATCCAAGCCTAAAAAAGTGAAAATCACTATTAATTTGGGCGCAATCGTCATATATTTCGCTCATTACATTCACACACAATGAGCAAAACAAGATAAAGAGCTAGGATAAATCTCCGATTACATGTAAGAATCGTCTCATTTTGATGATCAAAACTCTTGCTCTGATTTTACTTATATCAAATTATGCTACGGTATATCGCATAATACACTATGTTTTTTTTTTTTTAAATTTAATAAAAATAATGAAACTTTGGTATTCTTACCGTTCTTAATCACCAACTAATTGCTTTTAAAAAATAGAGTTTTAACGAAAAGCCCACGGTACTGTTCATTTTAACGAAAAACCACATTTTTACACTAAAAAGTCAATCATGGTACTATTCACTTTACCATTTATTTTGTCCTTATCATTAAAACTCAAAATTTTCAAACCCTTTTAATTAGTTTTCTTTTTAAAAAAATCACCAACTAATTATACTATCACGTGCATGAACTCCTTAGATAATGCTAATGCTAATGCTATGCTTCAAACACCAAACCCTAGTGGGTCCATGAATATTGTATCTTATACACACACATAAATATATATATATATATATGCATATATAATACATGAGGTTGTTTATGTTGCCGACATGGCACGCATAAAATTTGAACGCCACATAGTCAAATTAGACTTTTCCTGTTGTGGGTGTCCACCATCACCAAAATAATACGACCTAATTAGCAACAAATTAATATCAGCAAATAGTTTAGCCTCAATCTTCAAATATTGAGATTGATTGCGACTGTGTTTTGTTTTCTAATGTTGCAGATAAGTATTTACCTTTCTCCCTCCATTCCACGTCATCCCCCATCCCACTACCTTCCAAGTTATTTATATTCACAATATTTTTCTTGTCTGATTAAATATTTTGTTTTATTAATTGTTTTTAACACACACTTGCCGGAATTATGTGGGTGAGATGACTGAGATCATGCAGTGATGAATTAATTAAGAAAAATAATTAGCTGAGGGCGTTGTGGGTGAGTTGGCAATACCACATGAGTACAATACACAACACGAGGTCAACCAGGTCAACAGGTTCTAAATTAGTTTGGATTAATCCGCACTTAGAGGAAGACTAATCACGGTTTGAATTAGAAGTTCAGCTATGTGCTGGTAATTGATAATTATATATACGAAAATATTCTTAATTTTTATGTAATTAGGAGAAGTCAACAAGTTTGATGGTTTTGATTAATCCGAAAACCAGAGAAAGGGAGGGTTATGGGTTGTCTCAAGGGTTGTTAACCAGTTGGGTGGTGACTGGTTTAGGTTTCAACTTTCATCATAAAGAGTGGTGACTGGTTTAGGTTTCAACTTTTTCATCATAAAGGCAAAATACCATACCTTATACACTCAAAAGTCAGTTTTATTTGGTCAATGTCTTTTTATACAATCTTAACGATTAAGAGCTTGTTTTAAACTGCTTTTAAAATGATTAAAAATGCTTTCAAATAAAACGTTTTTGGGTTCCGAGAACACTTAAAGTGTTTTTTCAAGATTCACATGTCATTTTATTAAGGATTGTCCAAAAACTTTTTCACCAAAAATGATTTCAGCTGTTTTAAAAATACTTCTAAACAAACCCTTAATTAGTATTAAAATCTAATTTCACCACGCAACTTAATTAGACTCCACGAAAACGATCTTTCAGGCGAGTGAGATATATATGCATCAAATTAAGGGTTCGCCATGATGAAAACATCAAAAGGTTAACATCCGTTACAACATGCCTAAGTGGTACTAGTTATACATGCATAGTTTCATAATTAAGGTTTTATTTTGATTTTTAAATCAACAAAGATTTAAAATCTAATTAGTTAATAATCCATATAGTCAGAAGTCCAATTTTTTTCCCAAGACTCTGTCTGATCAAGAGTAGCGGTTGGACGTGGAAATTTCACTCAAAAAATACGAAAAAAAGCACCTGCAAACAGAGATAATAAATATTTGTGAAGCCTTTAGTTTAATCTATACGTACCGAAGTCTTTGCACATTTGTTATTAAAAGAAATGTCAACTAGGGAAGAAGCGTTTTCTGAATGTGTCTGTTTGATGGTGTCTAAAGTCAAAATCTCCAAATGCTGCTCGAGCTGCTCGATCGTTGTTGGGACTTTGTAAACCATACATTTTGTTAGGTTAAATACTGCCACACTCTTTCAACCAAAGCTGGCCCAGTTGGAGCATTTGCAAAGTCCTCATCTTGACAAAGTCCAAAAGCTGCAACTTGCATGCAAAACGTTAATTAAGATATGTGAACTGCACAATACCCAGTTGCTTGGTAAAGAAATTAGGGTTTGTAGACCAAAAGAGATGAAGGCACTAGGGTTTTATATGTTTAATCCGTGTGCCTAACCGGAACCGGAAAAAAAAAAATTGGTTCTTTACATATAAAGAGTCTTTTTTTTTTTTTTTTTTCCCAAGGCATTCGGGTTTGTAGACCAAAAGAGATGAAGGCATTAGGGTTTTCCATGTTAATCCGTGTGCCTAACTGGAACAGGAAAAAAATATATTCGTTCTTTACATATAAAGAGTCTTTTTTTTTTTTTTAACAAATCACTGTTTAATTACATGTATGCCGCGGACAAGAACTTTTAAAATTAAGATTATAATGAGTAACATGTAAAGAGTCAAATAATGATTTTAGGAGTTAGCTGGTATCCATTTTGCTTAACCATCACAACAATCCATCTAGATTAACCCTAACTAAAGTCATTAAATCTAATATAGTATGTCTATAATTCCAATTAGAGATTTGGCAATTGCAACAATGCATTTGGATTTTATCCCTCTCATTAATTTTCCCCTCCTATTCTATTTGAACGCTCAAGATTAAATCACATCATCATCTTATTTTATTTTTTTTGTAAAGAAAGAAAATAAAAAGAAGAAGAAACCAAGAGAGGAGGAAAAAGGAAATGAAGGATAACGAACAAGAGAGGAGAGAGAATCCAACTTGTTTGAAGACGTACATGATAATGCATGATATTCTTTCTTTTTGAACAAGAGCAGAAGAAGACATAGTCCAAGAAACAAAGACCCACGACTCCAAGTCTCTGCTGAAAGAGATTACAAGTGGGCCGCATGCCCCTGACGTGGATGTCTGCCTAAACATAGTTAATTAACTGCATGCATTACGTTAAAACAATTGTTTAACACTTAATCACATCTCATTCAAACTTCTAAGTCACAAGGAGCTGATTAAATTAACTTTAATTATTTGACAATTTGTCACAATTCATGTTTGTGAAAGCATGAGAGATTCCTTTGCTCGAATGAGCTGTAGAGGTGAGGATCATCCGATCATGTGGTGTTTATAATATTAATACGGTCCTTGTTTCTGTGCGGCCGGGTTCAAAACTTGCTTATGATTTGCTTAATTTTGTGATTAATTTTGTACTAATTAATTATGACTTTGGCATAATTGTCAAAGTGGCAGCTAATGTTGCACTTTGGGAAGTGAACTCACGTTCAGAATTCCATTTACTATGCACATTGCTTTGCATGTAAATTTATTAGGAATGCCAACTTTTAAAATTAACTTTTGTAAATTATGCAGCTTGTTAATGATTTTATTACTTAAATGTTAATTAACATGTTTATTTTTTTGTTAGTGACACTAACACATTATATAGTTTATATATTTAGTATAAAAAGTTAATCTGCTTAACATTACTTAAAATATTTACGGTAACCTATGACTTTTTATATTATAAAATATTAACGATTACCCTTTATTATATACGGGTTGACATCTACCTGCCATGCATTTTGTTGGCTTGAATAGTTTTCTTTCTTTTTTTTCAATTTCTGGTTATTATTTTTTGATATTTTCCACCAAACAGAGGTGAAAATTCTATCACGTTAAGTAACAATTAATTATATGAACAAAGAAAAAGAGAATCATTTCTTTCTTTCCTTCTCCTAATAAATAAAGGAAAAAAGCTAATCTCGTTCATTTTTTGTTTGAAAAAGAGCTAAATGCCAATAGCCCAAACAATGGGATATCCCAGGTCGATACTTACGAACAAAATTAATTGAACAAGATTATCAAAGTAAAAATAACCTAAATCTAAATCCAAACTATATGCTGCCAAATTATCCGCTACAAAATTCTTCTCTCTGTAGACATACTGAAGTTCACATTGCCAAGATTTTGAAAGCAACTTTTGATAGGCCGAAACCAGGGACCCAAAGGATGATTATTGCTAGCAGCTTTGCAACAACCAATGAATTGTGAGTAGAGTCTAATTCCACCAATAATTTATCAATCCGTAACCTCTATGTCAATTGTAAGCCCAAATAAAATCCTCACAGCTCATTATTGAGAATCTTACTTACGCCCAAATTGGTGCAAAATCCAAAAATTTATTTACCATCAGAATCTCTTAAAACATCACCTGCTCCACTCCAATTGAATTATTAGTTCTCTTCTTGTAACCATATTACATCAAGCCTGAACCAATATGAAGGGGAGCTTTCCCAACGGAGCAGAATCAATTATATGCGGCTTATCAATCTTTAATTTTTGAATTGATGGAGCTCGAGACAAAATTCTTATTTAACCTGTCAAGTTGATCACGAATGATAACTAGTAATTTTGCTGTCGATCTAATCTCTTAATTTCTCATGATTAGACACATAAGACAACTTTTCCAGTCGTTGATTGGAACCACAGTTTAACAATAGTAGATAATTTTCTTTTGATTTATTCAATCCAAATATTAAAAAAAAAAAAACACAAGAGTACATTGCAAGAAAAAGAACATTGAACGCAGAAATCACACATCCTTGAGTAACGCAGATCCGCAAATTGTAGAAAATCGTACTCTTAAAAAAAGAAGAGCAAATAACTTTAGGGTTTCTCTCAATTTTGCTTCATAACGAACAAGCAACCCAGAAACTTAAATTAGCATATTATCTATCAAAATCCTCTACAGTAAAAGTACACATATCTGCAGGGAAACACTAATCTGACTAAAAATCAGTGATATATAATTTGGGGAAAGAATTGGAAGAGACCCCAGTTTCGACTATAAATATAAACACGTAAACTTCGGTATAATGGCTCCGGACTTGCGCGCTTCTTTCGACAATCAAAATTTCCGATAGGTTGTACTGCAGACCGGCTTCGGGAGGACCTCGTGCCTGAAAAAATTGTTCCAACATATGCAATAAACATGAGGCCAACTTGTGAAGCAGGGATGGGGCGCTGTCCAAATCAGAATTGAAAATTTTGTAATTTTGTACAAACAGAATCACGTTCCCCATCGTATATCTTCTTCGCGAGTGAAATGTTAACACTGCTACATTCCTATAGAGAACTCTGCGTCGCCGTTATTGGGGAGTAAATGGTGTTAATGCCTTGGCATGTTGGCTCTCCATCTCAAGAAGCATCAGGGACTTCTGTCTTTGATACCTGTTTCTCTTAGCAGAAAGTGCTTGAAGAAGGGGGAAAAGGTGAAAAAACCCGTCAGAAGAAACTGAAAAACTGAGTACATAATATGCTAGCAGATTAGACAAGACAACGATGCCTAGAAATGGAAGTGCGAAATATGTTCTGGCGCTATTGCCTATTGTGTCAGTTTTACGATTCATGTTTGTAGAAGATTGCAACAAACACAACACCAGTATGTAAATTGCAATTAAGTTGCTACTGTTGTGAAATAGAAACAAAGATGAACATGAAATATCAACACCAAAAAAGATATAATCAACAACAAAATATAAGATATATTGACAAATCTGAACTTGTTTCATACTTACACATTAAGTCTTGCGGTAGGCCAAAGTCGTAATCATTCCTACGCCTTCGGATGCAGAATATGTACAATGCCAACATGACCAGACAAAAAACAAGAACACAGGATACGGCTATCGCAATTTTACCCTTCTTAGATAAGCCTCCATTTTCCCAAAACAGAGGACAATCGGGCAAAGATGGTACACCGCACAAACCCTTGTTACCATAAAGACTGTCGAAGAAACATAGTTGCTCATTAGTTAAGTATACAACGAAAGGCTTTTATCACAACCAACAACAATAATGCTAATAGGTCGTTGAATACTGATGTTAACACCTAGACAATTGTTTTATCCTTACAAACAATCGTACAAGCATATATTAGAAATGTGCAGCTTCATCAAAATGTAAAATATAATTTAAAAAAGTGAGAATATCGAACTATAATGTGACATACTCAATTGCTCCACCATGCACACCAATAGAATAGAGCTCCTCTGGAACTTGGCCTTCCAATAAGTTATTGTTCAGTAACCTGATAACAGAGAATGCGCATTCAAAAGAAAGCAATAAACACATGGAAAGCATATTGGCAATCAAGACTAGAAGATGGAGACCTTTACAAGCTAGCATAATGTTTATATATGGTTGCCAGCTTTAGGTTAAATAGAACTTAAACAGTTTGCATTTTGGCAAGACTCCTAAGGAAAGATCGAGACCTTTACGAGCTAGTATAAAGTTTACTGAACAACATATGTTTAACAACTTAGTCTAAGTGTTGGTGACTTATCAGTAGAAGTTGTCTATTGATTACAACGACTAGAGAAAATTTGAAGCAGCAGTTTCCCAGACTTGAGGGATGTTGAAAAGTCTACCACACGTAAAATCTATCTTCAGTTTTTGGTACAATAACACATTTGCTTTTAAGCCCTTCCTACTTAAAAACCCGCAACTTTATTATTCCGTGATCACAGGAGAACATTTTCATAGTAAGGTTCCACACACAAAATGGAAACTCACATAATTGGAATTCGTAATTAAATTGTCCACAACAGAGTTCCATAACAAAATGATGTAAACAAATGTATAAGCAGAACACTTACACAAGCTGGAGATTTGAAGTCGCTAAACTCTGCGGTATAGGTCCAGTAAATTGATTGTTCGACAAATCCCTACAAATACAAATGTAATAACAATAAATAATCACACAGAATCAAGTAACAAACCGAAAAAGTAAAAAACAAAATATCAGACTCTGTCAACATATGAAATCAACAACCGTGCTATCACTTTGCATACTTAACTATAACTGGTCTCGATGGGCAACTTGGATAATTTTCCAGAAAAGAAATCAACAGGTGAGATCATAAGAAATAAAAAACACTGGAGCTGATATGACAACGAAAACGAACATCATAACTTTAACTGCTAAGTCTGTTAATTAGATAATGTCATTTAGATGAAGAGAAGGAAAAATGGCAAGAGAAAACTTCTCAAACTTCAGGGCAAGATTTCAAAGTCCAAACTATATGACAACCTAGTTTAACACATGAATTGTACAGTGAACAATTTTAGGTTGATTTGAAGTCAACTGCTGACATTAACAGTGAGATACACTTGTAGTTAACAAATATGAAATCGATTTAAAGAAAAATCATGCATACTAACAATGGGACAGTTCCGAGTCACACGAGCATTAAAAAATCAATTGAGATAAGATTATACTCAACAGAATCGAGATAGATGGTCAACCAAGTGATGTTCCCGTACAGAGCATTTTTCAGTTACACAAGAACATTAAAACAGAAACAATCAATCGCACAACAAAGATCAAAAGTATTCTACCGACATTGTAGGAAAATGAGTGGGACTTACAGCCTATGGAGAGTTTTTTGGCCCAGCCCAGATGGTAATACGCCCTCCAAAGAATTGGAGCTTAAGTTCCTGCAGTTTTTTTCGAATGAGAAAATAGTATAAACTTCTACTCTAAACAAGTTGAATCACCAAGAATTAGTCTTTGCAGGTGATACTTACAGGCTTAACAAGTTCGACAAGAGACTAATCTGGTCACTGATAAACCCTTTCAATCCTTGACTTCCAAGATCACTGAAATACACGATACCATTAATTGAATGGATAATGCAGGTAGATTTACAACTTCACACATCTATTTTAATCGACTTCAACACTTTTGATTAAGAAAATAAAACTCTTACATTCCAGATATGACGAGGGCAGTTCCATTCTTATTTTGCTGGCACGAAACTCCTTCCCAAGTAACCCAATTGGACGGAGCACATGGATCACCATTCCACCCCATCCTATCGGGAACTCGAAGCGATTCCTTCAACGCTTTCATAGCAACCACTACATCAATCACAATTCAACTATCATCATCCTCAATCAAACAACTAACTTAATTGTCATTAACTAATACCTTGTTCTGGAACAGTGGAAACATCAGCAGGAACCAGAGCGTAGTTTTCGAGCCCGCTGATCAACACCGCGCCGACGACATTCTGAAGCTTCACACTCAGAGCATTACTACTCAAGTTCTTCACTGTGTAATTCCATGAATATGCCGCGAAGCTCCCCACCTCCTTGAATATGTCAATTCGCTTCACATTCTTGCCATCGATGAGAATGTCGAACACTCTCTGCCCCGCCCTCGTCACGCTCGAATCGATCTCCGCGAAATGGAACCACAACAAGTAATCGAGCTTCGCGTCCACCTGCAATTCGTACTCCAGGGCTTTGCCGCCGACGACCGCCGCCGATTGGTACAATTTCATCGGAAAATAGTTAGGGCCCTGGTCGGTGTTGGCAATGGTGTTTCTGGTGGTGATGGATCGGACGGTGGATTCGTCGCTGGTGGATCGGAAATCCTTGTCGCTTTGCCATGAGCGGCCGAAGAGGTCGGTGTCGTTGCTGAAGCCTGGGCCAAACTGATCGGAGCCGCAGGTGAAACGGCCGTAGTTGACGAGAATGTAGTCTTTGCCGAGGGTAACGGCGTCGTAGGAATCCGGGTCAACCCGGATGAGCTGGAGCGATCCAATGACGGGAGGGTCGGTGGCAATGCTATAGAAGCAGACATCGGCGTCTGAGTCGGAGACGAAAGCGAAGAGATCCGAGTAGGCTCCGGTGCGGGCGAGGTCCTCGGGCCACGGGGAGCGCCAGGAAAAGACCACGGTGCCCTCGACGGAGACGTCGAAGGAGGGGGAGTGTGCCTTGCCGTCGTAGTTGTCGTAGACGGTGAAGGTGCGGATGTAGTAGCGGCCGGAGGGCAAATTGGGGATTATATAGCAGTTCTTTTTGCCGGAAGATAAAGGGAAGTAGCGGAGGGTCTGCTCCTGGGGGTGGTGGAATTGGAGGGGCTCGGAGACGATGGCGGATGCGCCGCCTGTGAAAAAGCGATCGGCGAGCCAGGTGGTGTTGAATGGGTCGGTTTGGTCGGTGGTGCTGCCGGAGTCTATGTGGTAGGCGACTCCATCTGCGACAGAAGAAAAAATAAGTAGTAGAGTCAGTGACAGTTAGAAAGTTAGTTAAAGCGGTTAATGTGTAGGGTGTGAAGATTATTACCGTAGGGATAAGGCGGTGGAGAAGCGGAGGAAGAGGAGGAGAAGAAGAGGGAGAGGAGCAGGAAGACGACGGCGGTCATGTTTTTGTTTTTGGAAGGAGCGGGGAAGGAGTGTTAGGGCACGATGCCGGATTGAGGGGATAAATTTGGAGGGTGAAAAAGAGAAAAGGCGGAGAATAAGGGCGGCGAGATTAGCGGGGAGGGAAAGTAAGGTGGTGGTCAGATTTGGACTTGAGGGGGTGGAGTTAGTAAGTCGAGTGAGGGAGTGGGTGGGTTGGTAAATAACGGAATTAATACAAAAATAATATAAAATTAGAATGATTAGGGGAGTTAAATCCGGAATATAGGAACACAGTCACGTAGAGAAGATGAAAATTTGACAAATTCATGCAAATTAAAAGTTACATTACATCCTGACGTCACGTATGAATGTGATTGATATTATAATTAACAAGATATGGATGTTTTGTTGAAACAGAATTCAAAATATTAGTTAGGGACATAGTGGGTGTCCATAAATTGGGAAGCAAGTTGGTCAATTTTAGTTATCTTCATTTCAATTTTAAAATGGGTCACCACATTTTCTCTCAACTTTGAGTTTCAATTAAATATGCATTTTATTAAGTCCATAGACTAATTAACTTCATAACTTGTTTGAAATTAAGACGAACTTTGGATGACAAAATGAAATAAAAAGGTCATTTATTGGATGTAAAAAATTTGCAAACGATTAATGTTGCACTTACTGTCTATTTAAATTTTTTAACTACTAAAAGATTCATTTATTTTCATTGCATCTACACTTGTATTTATTTGTAAAATTTGAAATGAATAAATAAACAATAAATTGAATAACATAAATAAACAAGAGTTTGAAGAATAAATATATGAAAAAAAAAAAAAGAGAGAAAGAGATGGGGTCCCAAACCAGAAACTGAATCTTGGCTTTGTTGCTTACGTCTGCATTGTCAATAGGAGACGGACATGGATCCTCTCCAGATCCAATTGTCTTAATTATAGGGATCTATTAATACAAACCGTTAAAATTTGATCTAACGGCTAAAGTCATTATAACTTTTAAAGTGGGTCTCTGTTTGTAGCTGTTGGATCAAATTTCAACAGCCCAGATTGATGGATCCCTAGGATCAAATTTCAACAGCCCGGATTGATGGATCCAATTTTAAAGTGGGTCTCTGTTGATATTTATAAAGTGATTCATAATATGAACGGTTCTGATCGTAAGCACAAAACTCTGTGATTTAAATATGAAACATTTGAGTATAATTTCCTACTTATCTTTGAGTAATCAAACATTGTTTAGCAACTAAGACCACGCTACGCAACAAGCCACCATCCCATTGCTAATAAATGAGTAAGGCCTTGTTTGGCTGATGGCAAAGTACTTCGTTCCTACACTTGACGAAATTAATTCATATGAAAACTGGGAAGGAATCATATGTAAAATTGTAAACCATAAGAACTGAGATACCATCACTCGTTGATGCATTGACAAATTTTCAAATTTTATTGATTCTGGTCAATCTCGTACTTTTAAAAACAACTTAAACACAGCACGAGTACATTATCACTACAGTGCCTCATGCTAACAGTGCTCGTAATATGAACGCAAAGTTCGAATGTTGAAATTAATTTTTTTCCAGTATAATTATTGATTTTAAAAGGCATGAATAAATTCGGATAATAAATGTGATACATATATTCAGCTACCTGAAGTAAAGGAATACATGCCATGCCATGACCCCATTGGCTGTATTATTAAGTATACTGGTCAGTTTAATTATTTCATTAATAAGGTAGCTGAAAAATCAAAATTGATTAAAATAAGGTAAACCTTGTTTGGTTCGGTTGTTGGATTTGTAGGCTTGTGTTCAATTCTGTGCACCCGTGACTTGCATACGCTTATCATTTGTTGTTTCATTTGTTTTAAACAAACACCTACTTCTTGTTACCAGATAATTCGTTTCTACACATATATAAAAATGTCATCCACTTGCTAATTTACTCTTTAGATTCTTTCATCACATTTGTCTTTTTATGCCGTGTTTAAAATATTGATATAAATGGAAATATCAGTTTTCTAAAAAATGCCCTAGGCGTCTTGGAATCGAGGAGATTTTGTGCAAAACGGCTGGAAAAATCGGGGTGGCTCTAGGCGGCACTAGGCGGTGCTAGGCGGCTGGGTGGTTTTTTTTTTTTTTTGGTGAAATTTGTTTAAAGTCTAAGTTCTAATTATACCTTAAAATTTTGTTAATTTTATAGAATAGATGTGTTGTGTATCAGCTTAAATTCCGGAATACTAAAGAAAAGTAGCTTACATTACTAAATTTCCTTATTTTCCTCCCATTTTCCATTTTATGCTGTTTTAAATTATGAACTTGTTGTACATGTGTCATCCTACAATACTCCTCACTATGGTTATATAGCATATATGCTTAATGTGTTTTTAAATTTTGGACTTGTTGGAGATTCTTTTTGCATTTTACTATTCTTTTATTATCTTATACATGGATTTCATACGCAAATAATTTTTTGTAAGTGTCAATATGCACTTATTTACAAGATATACAAGAAATTTACCTAAATCTGTCTAGGCGCTAGGCGCTAGCCTGTCGCCCGACTAGCGCCTAGCGTTTTTTAGAACTTTAAGAAATATCGATATGTAAATTTATGACATATTTACTAAATTGGATGAGAACTGAGAAAATGAAATTGGACCCATTTGAGTGATTTCGGTGTTTCTTAACGTGTTATTTTCATATAGAAATAGAGGTGAGGTCCACTCAGAGCAAGCACTCAAATTTCCAATTTTTCCAGAATCAACTACGTACAGAGAGAGGTAGTTTTAAAATCTTGAGAAAAATGCTCCAAGAGGAAGAAGATAGAGAAAAAAGGAGGAAAAAGACTCCGTCGCTGTTTTTCCGATCGTAGGTTTTAACCTTTTAGGTGGGAGTGTGAATTTTAATGGTAATAACTAATAACAAATCAATAAAATTATAAAAATGCTTTTTAGCCAAAATGGTTAATGAAATTGACATAACTTCTTATTTTTGTCTCTGAGATTTGAAATTGATAGGAGTGTCTCTAAGTTTGTCCACCATCAATCATTTTGGTAATTCTGTACAAAATTATGTTAAATATGCACCAAAGTGACAAAAATACCCTCAATTAAATAAAAAATGTGCCAAAATGATTTGACAAAAATTGAGTGTATTTTTACCATTTTATCATTATCTAATGAAGACTTTTTTTTACAAAATAACCAAAATGATTGATGATAGACAAATTTGAGGACCACTTTTATTGATTTCAAATTTCAAGGACTAATGTGAGATGTTACGTCAATCTCAATGACCATTTTGATTTAAAAACCTTATAGAAAAACTACTTTTACTACATTTTCCAAACTATAATTGTACCATCTCTCTCGTAGAGATGAAAAACAAGATCTGCACACTTGACGATTCCCTTTTTAACCACTCTGATTTGTTTCTTTCATATGATTATCCTTTGATTAAGTTTGTTCACTTGCTCAAATTTAATAATAACATAGAAGTTGAGGAGGTAGCAAAGCAAGAAAAGAGTGATATCTCATTGGACCTCTCTTTTTTCCAGTTTGAGATTAAGATGGCCTCAAAAAACTAAGGGAAGTCTAATTTAGACAATGGGTGGCTTGATTAAATCGTGAATGTTGGGTGTCAATATGTCAATTTGTTTGTTTGTTGTCATATTTATGTTAGTACTCGTGCACGAATGTGACAAGTTTATTCAAATAAGAATTTTGTGTTTTTGTTTTGGCCGTGGGTTCGTATGATTATTTTTGCTTTTGCAATTCGATTACTTTTTAAATTATTGGGGGTGATGGGTTTCATTGGTGTAATGCATTGCAACTGTTGGCATTAACATGTTAAATAACGTCGCCATTGACATTGATTTCTTAAAGTTGACATGCATGGTACTTTTATCATCTCACTTGTTCGAAAATTTTTAAAAATGTCATATGAGCATATACCTTTTGTTTTTTTAACGTACAATATTATCTATACAAAAAGGAGGGAGTGCGCTAAATTTCATAATGTGCTGACAATAATGTGGTTCAAATTTACCTTTGGTGAAAATCGAATCTAATACCTCTCACTCACAAATGAAGAGATATATTACTAGATTGTAATATTAAATGGCTCATGTAACAATAATTGTTATCTCTGTATATACTTCACATCGATTGAACTCATATGGACAATGGAAGCCTTGGATGGATGATGGATCACTCATGGATCTTAAAATGGGTAATTTGGCACATGTGTAATAATACAATTGAGTGGAAATTTAAAAAAATTTCAATCAATTGTATAACTACCTTGCCGTACCAAACTATGTCGCCGACACATTAAAAAATTTTCTTGCACTCATATCCAGTGGCGAAGCCACGTGAGAACAAAGAGTGGCGGTCACCACTCCCCTCGCCGGAAAACAAGTTTAGGAGCGATGGTTTTGCCCATTTGGTCCCATTGAAAGTGCCTATTGGTGCGGTGGTTCCGTCTGTGTTCATCTGGATCTGGGTTTGTTGCTGGTGCGCAGCTCCGCTACATTTGGTTTTATATTTTTTTCAAAAGCCAGGCCAAACGACACCCTTTAATCCTAGTTAAAATATTTCCTTTAATGCAACGACATCGTTTAGGTATAGAATTGAAAAATAAAATTAATCAGATGGCAACATAACAAATCCTATTGGCCCTTTCATTCCCCTGCTACCAAACATTATGGCTTCAACTTCAAGCTTTTAAGCCATCCAAGCCGCAAGCAGCCAGCCTCCAGCTGCCATTCTTGGCCCCCTTTCTCTTAGATGAAGTTTTTAATTTCCAAATTTATGTTAGCCTTAACCCTAATTGCTTATTTAATTTGAAATTTTGTTTATTTGACATAGAATCATACAGTAATTAATCAATATGGTTATTAATTATTGAATATGAATATGAAATCTTATAACTATTGATGAATAAACTTGTTATTTAAAGTAAAAATTGAATTCTTGATTATTCTCATTGATATTGATTAATTGAATTGAATTTTGTTTAATGAATAATTTACATGATATTGGTATTGATTAAGAATCGAAGACTTTTTTTTTTCTTTTAGCAATAGTATACAATTACATAATGAAATGATACTATAAGAAAAAATGTTTAAACTCTCCTCCAAATATTCCAAGTGGTCATCCTTCAAATATTTCAGGTAGTCATCTTTGACTATTCCGGGTAGTTCCCAACAAAGTGATAACACTGAGTTGGGTGAAATATTAGCTAATATTTTTTTAACCTTGCACTCTTTTAAGTTTGCCCGAACCCGCCACTTGGCCATATGGTCTAGTGATATTTCTCTTCACTTGTAAGTAAGAGGACTTAGGTTCGATTCTCACTAAAGTCAAATTTGAACCACATTATTGCTAGTCCATTGTTAGGCTTAGCCCATTTCCCTACCCTCTTAGTGTAGATAATATCGTTTGTTTGAAAAAACAAAAAATATTTGCCCTTCCTCCCGACAATTCATGATTTCGCCAATGCTCATATCTATCGATTGAGAAATTTTCAAGTGTGCCTAAAGCACGGCCATGTACACTAAGTACCATAATATAATGGGTTACAATTTTTTTTCAGGTACACAACCACTTATATTATGACACGTGGTATACCGAATCGTGTTTCCAACACGTTAAAAATCTCACCAATCGGTCCCCTTAATTAATGCATAGCTCGTTCGGATTCCAAAAGCATTTAAAAACATTTTACCTTCCCCACAAAAAATTAGGATGGGATCAATGCACATTCATTCATTCAATCTCTCCAAGTTTTATTAGTATATCTAAGGTTAAAACTCAAATGTGGTTTTAACAATAAAAACTGCTTTTGATTGTAATTGGAAAAAAAATAAAAAGTAAAAAGCTCTTGGGCTATAAAAACACTCTCAAAATACGCACATGTTATACATATTTTTTTTTATATATCAATATTTTTACATTTAGATTTTACATTTTCATCTGCTCATAGGATGTCGCCGGTTAAAGCACCACCACCACAACCACAAGATGGCCACACCCCATTATTCCTACACATTTTCAATAAACAGTTCATATCGTTAAAATTTAATATAGAATAAGTTCCAATACAAAACTCTATTTAAAAAAAAAAATTAGAGATCCGTTTCTCAAAGGCCCTGAGGTCGCGTCTAGTTCTCAAAAACGAAAGGTCGCATTCTTTCCAGCCTGGCGTTGCCTTCGGCCCTCCCTCGGTCCCTTCCCCTAGCTGCATATCTCACAATCCAAACAAGATCCTTTGATTCTTCAAGGGAAGGATCTTGAAAATTCGTGAATCATATTCGTTCATTGTATATATGCGGTTAGTTTTTATTAGATATTAGTTGTGTTAATTTTAAATAAAAATATTTAAAATTATTTCTAATCGTATAACGTATGATAAACGAATACGATTCATAAATCTCTGAAATCCTTGCAAAGAGGATTTGGCGAGGATACGGATTCCTCACAATCCATTCCGGGTCCCACAACACCAGCATGACATACCCAAATTACCCCCAACTCAAGATAACATTAACATCCCTTGTCCCTCCTCCAATCCCGAAAGGCAAAGCAGAGTCTACCCTTCCGATTTTGACTCTTTAATTCCGAAATTCCCACTCAAAACTCCCCGCACCAACGAGACCATGCCACCGGGCCATGGTCCTCTCCACCTTCTCCTCGCCGCCCTCTTCCTGGCTGCAGCCGTACAATTTCCGGCGAATTCCGCCTCCGTCGAGCTCCCCAAGTTCCGAGAAGCACCTGCATTCCGCAACGGACGAGGATGCCCCCGAACCGTATGGTCCTCGTTGGACCAGAACTCCCACTACGATCCCTCCATCATCCACATCGCCATGACATTGGACACCACCTACCTCCGCGGCTCCGTTGCCGGCGTCTTCTCCGTCCTCCGTCACGCTACCTGCCCCGAAAACATAGTCTTCCACTTCATCGCCGCCTCGCACCGCAGTCGCCGCTCCTCCGACCTCCACCACGTCATCACCTCCACTTTCCCTTACCTCACATTCCACCTCTACCAGTTCGACTCCAACCTCGTCCGGGGCAAGATCTCATACTCCGTCCGCCGCGCCCTTGATCAGCCCCTGAACTACGCGCGCATCTACCTCGCAGATCTCCTCCCATCGGGCGTCCGCCGCATCATCTACTTCGACTCCGACCTCATCGTCGTCGACGACGTGGCGAGGCTGTGGAGGATCGACCTCGGGCGGCGCGTGCTGGGGGCGCCGGAGTACTGCCACGCCAATTTCACCAACTATTTCACCCCGAAATTCTGGTCGAACGCGGGGTTCGCGGCGGAGTTCAAGGGGCGGAGCGCGTGCTACTTCAACACCGGGGTGATGGTGATCGATCTGTGGAAGTGGAGGGAGGGCAAGTACACGCAGAAGCTGGAGCACTGGATGCGGGTGCAGAAACGGTGTCGTATCTACGAGCTGGGTTCGCTGCCGCCGTTTCTGCTGGTGTTCGCGGGTGACGTGGAGGGGGTGGAGCACAGGTGGAACCAGCACGGCCTTGGCGGTGACAACGTGGAGGGGCTGTGTAGGGACCTCCATTCGGGCCCAGTCAGCCTGCTGCACTGGAGCGGGAAAGGGAAGCCGTGGCTGAGGCTGGACTCGAAGCAGCCGTGTCCGTTGGATAGCTTGTGGGCCCCGTATGATCTGTATCGTGACCATCGTCACTCGTCACTGTTCTCTGATATCTGAGGGTGCATCGCGATTCACGGAGGCGCCCTGTACTGGATACGTATCACTGCTGTCATCTGGTCGGGAAGGGATGGAGGATCAACTGCGAGAGTTTTCCTTTTGTCTGGGTCCGTTAAGGCATCATATTTTACGGCGGTTAAAACGGAGATTTACCCGAAATGGTGGTTCCAAGACACGTGGTGAAAGGCCAAGGAAAAAGGGAGTCTGTGCATGGTAAAATGTCAAATATCTGGAAGGTCTGTATTCGTACGTACGTAGCGCGTATATAGATCTCGTTTAAAAGTGATTTTTAACCATTTTGAATGTATCAGTTATTTAAAAGTATTTTCAGTAAGTGAAAATTAGGAAATTAAGGAATTGGATATTTTTTGGTTTGTAGTGAAAAGTGTAGTAAGATAGTGGAAGTGTATCAAATATGATTGCTACTCTTCACCTTTGGGACTAAAATCATTGAAAAGAAAAGTATCTTGCCATCCCACTATGTTTCTTTTCTGTAAATATGAAGCGTTGGTGGTTGATTTTTTAAGCATGCATCGACGTATAACATATTAAGATTCTTCGTCGGTTTCTGTTATATCTTTTGACCGCACATTCAGTCATTTCCTTATTTCAGTGCACACTACAGTTAGTAGATATTTTAAAGGTTTGTTGTTTATGAACGTGTTTTGTATTATTCGTTTTTTTTTTTTCAGAAAATTACAAATTGGTTTTCATTTTTTGATACCTTGTGAGACCAACTCTAATGGTGGACTAAAAATTAAATTACCCCCCAAACCCACTCCAACCCAAGGGGAAACTTTGAGCTAAATGCTAAACCAATGCCAAATTCCCTCCGAAATTTAGCCCAGAAATCGGGGTGGACTCTATCCAATATTTATCGGAATTTAAATTTTTTTAGATTAAAATATTCATAAAATTAATTTACGATAGTCTACATATTTATTTAAAAAAAAATTAATTTAACAATAAAAATAGCCTAAATTCATTTTTTAATAATTCCGGACTAAAATTTTAGGGTAGAACGATTGGAGTAGAAAAGCTGTTTTTGGGCTAAAAACTAAATTTTTCGGGCTAAAAAATTTGACTTTTAGCCGATGGTCTGAGAGTATCTTATAAAGTTGACCAAACAAGGATTGTGTAGGGAAGGCATATGTGCAAGAAATGTTTGGAGTTTCAATTCACGTGGGTTGTTAACTGTTGAGACATTCTTCGGTGCAATTGAATGAAATCATGAACCAAGATGGTTGCCATGTGAATATACTTGCATTTAATCATTGTCATGCGAGCAAATGTGAGCAGCGACCTAGTGGATGATAAATTCACTCCACCTCCAACACTATTTGGCTGAAAGTTTAGTAACCATTCCTATTCATACCCAATCACATTTAGACACGTGTTTTAATAATTAAAATTATAAATATAAATTGGATTCATCTCTAAATGTGATTGGATATTAGCATGAGCGGCTATTGAACTTTCAGCAGCTAAGTAGTGTTCACCTTCAAATATTGGTTTGTGGGAAGATATTATTGTGTGGACAAATTTGATCATGTGGTATCTCTGTGTTACAGTATAAGTGTATATTACTACAATGAATAACCACATTGAGGATATGTTTACTTACCAAGAATAATATGCAAGTTACGAGTATTATTCTCATTTTTTGACATGTCTATTTTAGCCTCTTACATGCTTTTGTATAGTTCTGGTCGTTGATTTCATTTTGATTTATCCAACCTGGTGATCATAACTAAAAAGGAGTATCTGTGACGATATAATGGGTGTGTGAAAATCACTTTTCTCCTGAGATATCTTGCAGTTACTAACCTACACGAGAAATGAAAGTAAGTCTCATGTTGAAATTGCATTTGGTCCAATATCCTAGTGGATAGGGTGTTAAGTTTTCACCCATGCGTCCTAAGTTTGAAACTCCCACTTCTCCTAAATTGTTGTAATAATTTTGAACCCTCACTCTACTCCTTAATAATAATAATTTTAATAATAAAAAACAAAGTCTCATGTTGAGATTAGGTATGCCACACCTAAGCATTCAGAAATGTGAAACATTTGTTAAAGAAAACTAAATTGGCCTTTTTAGTTGGCAATCATGGAATGTAGAGGCCCATTATCCAGCCCAACCAAATAGTTCCACTCTCCCATACCCACAAGCCCACTCCAACCCTGTGGTGCATGAGTTGACGTGTCAATCTCTCCTTTCTTCCTGAATTATAATCCATTAATCCCCTCGAGCCATTTCCCTCCACAAATATACCTGTAATAACCGTCACCAAAAAAATTAAAAAAATTAAAAAATAATAAAAAAAATCAGACTCTGCGAGTGGTGGTGTAAATTTGAAGGACTTGCTTGAAGAGAGCCAGTGACTGTCGCTACCTGGATTTTCCCTAACACAAATTCCCAAAGCCTCCTCACTTTCCGGCCATGGCGGCCACTGTCGGAGCCGGCGGAGTTAGCATGGGGACGGCCAAGCTCCGTCCTCACCAGTCAAAACCCACCTCCCCGTTTCTCGGCAAAAAACTCAAAATCAGACCTACCTTGGAATGCCAGCAACGCAGTTCGAGAATCACAATCTTAAACCCCAAAACGCTTCTGGTTTTCGCGTCTGGCGGCGGCGAGTTGATCCACGCCGTCAACGACCTGTTTCTGGGGGTGGGAGTGGGGCTGCCGTGCACGGTGATGGAGTGCGGCGACATCATATACAGAAGCACTCTTCCCAAATCCGATGGCTTGACGCTCACGGCCCCGGGTGCTGTTCTGGCTCTGGGCGCCCTGTCGTATCTCTGGGCCACCCCCGGCGTGGCTCCGGGGTTCTTTGACATGTTTGTGCTTGCTTTTATTGAGAGGCTCTTCAGACCCACTTACAAAAAGGTAAAAACTTTTAGTTTATTTCTGTTTAAATTTTGGATTTTGATTGGAAATCTGAAGTGTGTTTTGTGTTGATTTTTGTGGGTTTACAGGATGATTTTGTTTTGGGGAAAAAGTTGGGAGAAGGTGCTTTTGGAGTTGTTTACAAAGTTTCATTGGCTAACAAGAAGTCTTCTTCCAAGGTAATACAGTAATTATAATTTTGGTTGATTCGGAGATTAGAGAGAATGTCTTTGAGCCAGTTGTATCGGAGATTGTAAATCTTATGGGAATGAATGTGATGTACTAATGTGTTGCTTTTGGTTATCGCTAGAAAGAAGGCGACTTGGTGTTGAAAAAGGCTACTGAATACGGCGCGGTAGAGATTTGGATGAACGAGCGTGTGCGAAGGGCGTGTGCGAACAGCTGTGCTGATTTTTTGTACGGCTTTCTTGAGGTGTTGATCTATAATGCCTACTTGTACCATGTGATTTCGGGGTATCATTATATTGGAATTTTACTTTGATAGTTCATTCCATTGCACATTCTAGTTTCCGTCGTAGGAATTATTAATTGTGACGAGTCTGGTTGCAGAGTTCTTCTGCAAAGAAAGGACCTGAATATTGGCTTATATGGCGGTTTGAAGGGGAGGCCACTCTTTATGATTTGATGCAAAGTAAAGAGTTTCCGTACAATGTTGGTACTTTCTCCCATAAGCCTTTACATGTTCATAAACCGTTGTTCTCTGAAACTGTTTGATGATTTTGTAGTTTCAACTATAATATCCAAACATTGAACCGTCCATTGGCTTATCGAATTTCCAATAAATTCTTTCCTGAAACATGCCACACAAATGTCAGGTAGAAACAATGATTCTTGGAAAGGTTCAGGACTTGCCGAAGGGTTTGGAAAGGGAAAACAGAATCATACAAACGATAATGAGACAGCTCTTATTCGCACTGGATGGTCTTCATTCAACTGGGATTGTGCATAGAGACATAAAGCCACAGAATGTTATTTTCTCTGAAGGTACTAATACTTATCAGCATGCTGTACATAAATCGATAAAGAACCAGCAAATCTCAACTGTTCTCATATTTGAAGGTTTCCTATTCTCGTTTTAACAATGTGCAGGCTCTCGTATATTCAAGATCATTGATCTTGGAGCTGCAGCAGACTTGCGAGTCGGCATCAACTACATCCCAAAGGAGTTTCTTTTGGATCCAAGGTATCTTTCCAGCTAAGTAGTCTAAGTAGCGTACTTGCTAATTGCTACAAAAAGGCATGATGAACTCATGAATCTAAAGTCCTGCATCAGAGGAACAAAGCCTTAAAAAAAATATCAGCTTCACCAAGCTAATGTACGTTTACTTGACATCCAAGGGACTAAAATCTCAACAAAAACCCTGCACTTTGTGAAGTGAATAATACATGAGACGTAAGTACTGATCAAAATATGCGATATCTGATTTCGGAATAAATGTCTTTTAAAATAAATATTGGTAATTTGCATGTTTGATTAATAGCAAGGTTCACTTCTCATAGCATCTGACTCAATTTGTTGTAGGCATTCATGATGTCGTTTGGGTCTTTTCCTTTTCAGATATGCTGCACCAGAGCAATACATCATGAGCACACAAACGCCATCTGCACCTTCTGCTCCTGTGGCAACAGCACTTTCCCCAGTTCTCTGGCAGGTGAAAATATTAATTGTTATATCATCTCAAATTTTATTATTGCTAACTTACTTTCTCAGGTAGATAAATTGATTTAATGGTTTTAATTATATGGTCTTGAACAGATGAATTTACCGGATAGATTTGATATCTACAGTGCCGGTCTCATATTCCTACAAATGGTGAGTGCCATAACCTGCGGAATATAGCTATTGTTGGTATACTAAATGATCACTCAATACTCTTTCAACTTCTTCGTACAGGCCTTCCCATCATTACGCAGTGACAACAGCCTAATACAATTCAACCGTCAGCTAAAAAGGTGCGATTATGACTTGGTTGCATGGAGAAAAGCCGCCGAGCCCCGAGCTAGTGCTGATCTACGAAGAGGTTTTGAGTTGTTGGATTTGGATGGTGGCATTGGATGGGAGCTCCTGACGTCAATGGTTCGGTACAAAGCGAGACAAAGAATCAGTGCGAAGACAGCCTTAGCGTATCCCTACTTTGACAAGGAAGGACTGTTGGCTCTGTCCTTGATGCAGAACCTGAGGTTGCAAGTGTTTCGATATACACAACAAGATTATGGGGAGGCTGCCAAATGGATTATTAGGCTAATGGCACGATCAGGAACCACGCAGGATGGTGGCTTCACAGAAGCTGAGCTCCAGGACATTAAAGTTTGTACCTGAACTTAAATTTGGAAAAGGAAATGCTTTTCGCACACCCATTTTCTCCTCAGCACTCCTCCCTTTGTTCCTAGTTTTTTGAGTTGAACAAATCAAAGGAGAATCAATGGACATAAACAAGAGGAGTGCAGAATGAGAATGTAGGAGTGTGAAAAATCACCATCCATTCGGAAATCATTAAAGTTGTAATCTTTTCGGGAGTTACACTTTTATATAATGTGCAGGAATTGGATCCTACTAGTAAGAAGAAGGCAAGTGCACTGGGAAGGAATGCTTTGGCTTCAGCTCTTCGGCTGCAGAGGAAGATTGTGAAGACGTTGAACGAGAGCATGGATGAGATCAACAGCCGTCGGAAGAGTCTCTGGTGGAGCAGGTGGATCCCAAGAGGGGATTGATTCAAGTTTGTGAAAAAGAATATACCTTTTTTCCTTTTCTGTAAATTGTGTGTAGTAATCTGAATTGACCAACTTTGGTGATATAGAATTATGTTTAAACATGAAAGGATTAGCTGGAATCTAATACAAACATATCTGTACCTTGAACCAAACTGCATTACCAAATATTTATACTTTGAACAGTGGTTTCTGTTATTTAGGACTTTCACCGTGCAGTTGCAGAGTCCTCCATTAACTTCAACTGCAAGCAAGCATTCTGTCCTTCCGAAACACGGGAAAAACACATACGTGAGTTTATGCTAGCGACTAGAGTAGTGTGTTAATCTTCTTGCATTCGAGTTCAAATTTCACATTTCAAAAATAAAAAACATGCAAGGTCGTGAGCCTGTGATAATATTTTCTTTTGAAAATGTTTGAATTCGTAATGCAATGAGTTTAGCGAAAAAACTCGATAAACCTTCAGATCCTCCTCTTTGGACCCCATTTCGTCCAATGTTGATAAACTAAGAACGTAATTTTATCATGTATTTGTCATAAACCAGCACTGCTCATGATCATACCATGCTGCCATGCTGGGGCTACGCGGTCAACGATCATGCAAAGTGCGAGAACATAATCATTGATTAATTAGGAAAACCACGCGTAATTCAAGAACGTGGCTAATTATTCATTCAAATTACGAAAAGCTTCCTTCGAAGCAAAGCCTGCCAAAACCCAAAATCCGATATATGCATGTAAGAATACAACTGTAGTCTGTAGTTTGCCGCTCAATTCCGTACATTCCACCAAAAACACAGATGTTTGTCACATGCACGTTTGAACTCCATACATACAAGGCATAATGCAAATGCTGGCTAATTAGCTCCGTTAATATTTCCCCTTGAATTTGCAGGGAAATTGGTAAGGAAGCACATCAGAACTTGCATGCTGGAATTAAGGAATTCAAGTTGCTTATAATACAAGCATCAAGAACACACACACACACACACAGACCCTTTATGCAAAGAGATCCCATTTTTTGAAAAAAATGGGGATTAGGTGTGGGCCCCCTTCACATCGAACTTCAACGATCCGAACAATCTATTTTGTAAGTCTCATTTCATAGATCATCCTTACAAAAATTTAATTCAATCCGAAACCATTTGTCTATTTCATTATCAAGATAAAATTTCATCGTTTATTATATAACAAAGTATTCGTTAATTTCTTTAAACTTAATTAGATGTATTAAACATTTTCGATTTGGCTAATATTTTGCAAGAATAATCTATGAGGTGCAACTTAAAAAATAGATGGTTCGGATCGATTTGATGTGGTGTAGACTCCACAACTCATCTCCATTTTTATAAAAAAAAAAAAAAAAAAAAAAAAATTCATTTCCTTAAGGGTTTCCTATATATATATATATATTTGAGGCTACTTAGATCAGAGATAATATGAAATTAAAAATATATATGTGTTGAGTCAATTGCAGGCAATGGCATTGTAAATCACGAGAAGTTCACGTGCAACTCTGACCTTGACCTCGTTGTTTATTTGGAACAACAAACATAACATGAGAGACACAAGCTTCAAAACTATACATGGGACACTTTGGATATATCGCTCTCAGATTATATTAATTGAATTCAAATTAATTTAATCAGCACCATTTTCTAGCTCTATTCTGGGGCTATTATTTGAGTTCCCAAAGTTTTGTATATAATACTCTACGGTACCTAGTGACACACCCCGACCCAGAAAGTCCACTTGGACCCTGAATCGAGCTGTGCTGGCCGACACCTGGAAGGTGACGAAGCCATAAAATGTGATAGTGCATAAAAAGTGAATAAATTTGAATCTAAAAGTGTCTAAATACCAGAGTGCGCTACGAGTGGGAGCGAACCCATTTCACGCGCGATGTCAGAGCATAAGTAAGGTACAGTAATGTGAGTAAGAATCATACCCTCAAAATATCCATCAATACTAAGATTCGCCACAGATTTTTGTCGATACAAACTCAGCAGCTAAAACCTGGAGGGCACCAAAGAGAAGGTGTGAGTAAGCAATAAAACCAAGCTTCCCAAAGTTACTACCTCTCTAAAAGTAATGCCCCTAAATGTACAACCCGTATCGTTTTCCGTAAGACAGTACAACATATATACATATAACCAAACCATACTCGGAAATGACCAAAACCACGATTTGCCATCACATCCACCATACATTAATAAGTAGGCCAAATGAACTAAATCAATACAAAGTGATATATCAGTCATAGTCAGCTAAAATGACATGTACAACTTATCCGTATCTCATCAATCATGGCTAGCTTATAAGTCGGAGTCACCTATAGTGACCTGTACGACTTATCCATATCTCATCATATAAGTCGGAGTCACCTATAGTGACCTGTACGACTTATCCATATCTCATCAATTCTGGCTAGCATATAAGTCGGAGTCACCTATAGTGACCTGTACGACTTATCCATATCTCGTCAATCCTGGCTAGCACATAAGTCGGAGTCACGTATAGTGACCTGTACGACTTATCCATATCTCATCAATTCTGGCTAGCATATAAGTCGGAGTCACCTATAGTGACCTGTACGACTTATCCATATCTCATCAATTCTGGCTAGCATATAAGTCGGAGTCACCTATAGTGACCTGTACGACTTATCCATATCTCATCAATTCTGGCTAGCATATAAGTCGGAGTCACCTATAGTGACCTGTACGACTTATCCATATCTCATCAATTCTGGCTAGCATATAAGTCGGAGTCACCTATAGTGACCTGTACGACTTATCCATATCTCATCAATTCTGGCTAGCATATAAGTCGGAGTCACGCATAGTGACCTATACGACTTATCCATATCTCATCATAACATGTGCAACACATGGCAACCGGTACGACAGTATCGAAGTTGCCTAACTCATAACTGTAGTCATGCTATAACTCAATCGATTCAATTAACACCATAAACTCACCTGAACTTACCTGGGTGTCCCGAGTTCACCTTTGCACTTGAAAGCATTCCCAATAATTATAAGCAAGTAATATACATAGGGATATATCATGATGCAATCAACTACTCAACCATGTCGTAGCATTTTCAATTATAAACAATATGGTGTGAAGTGTACAATCAATAACGCCATACTCCCAAACTACTTATTTTCAGGGATAATTATCCATAACAATCCAATTAACTCTAATTTAACTAACTAATTCACAAAACTAAAACTTGTCTTTACCAATTTCCTTCGCATCACTCAATTTCCCAAGCAAGGCTTTTGTCTCAATTATTTTATGGCTGCATCTAACGTCTCGTTAGACTGCCTACGTACCCTAAACAGGGATCAAGCCATTCGTAGTTCACATTGTACGTCAAGCATTCACAATAATTATATATGAAAGTAATATGCCTAATCAATTTAAAGGTGTCGATAGAACTCTCAATAATATGCACAATAAAAAGGAAAAGATCCACTCACCTGGAGTCCACGCTATACTACTCTAGCACGCGCATCGAGGCGTCCTGAATGATCGGTCCCTGTGGCCAATTATCAAATCACATCTCAGAACTCTTATCTGAAGAATATGCAATTCACATAAAACACAACCTCGACGACTTTCTAAAATAGGTTGAGACCTATTGACCACAAGTCAACCGTCGATCAAAGATCAACGGTAGGGTTTACAACCCTGTATAACCTGACCCGGAAGATCCGCATATCAGATTTCCAATCTGCAACTTCCAATGATCCACAATATGTTTCTAGAATAACATCTTAAAATTTCATTACGATCCAACGGTCAGATCTTCGCCAATTGCCTAAAACAAGTGGCCGTGAACATTTATTTTACTAACTTACAAATCCAATTCAGGAAGATCCGAAAGTCGGATTCCCGATCCGTAAATTCCTATGATCTTTAAATATTACGTATTATAATGTATCCAATTTTGGTGACGATCCAACGGTCGGATCATCGATTCACATTTTTATCAAGTAGCGTATTATAACGAATTTAGGTTCCAACGATCAACCTACGTCATTCAAATGACCAAACTGAATTCAAAACATTCGACATAGCCTAAAAATAGCATTGGCGGCTCACCGGCCACGCGCCGCCGCACGCGCCGCCGCGGGTGGCGGTCGGCCGCCCCGACTCGCCGGAAAATCCAACAAATTCCAAAAATTATCAAACTTCACAGAAATGAAGATCTCAGTGAGTGGAGCAACTTTCATACCTGCCACGAAGTCCAAAAGTGGACGGAAGATGGTCAATTTTGCCCACGAAGCCGGCGGGTGCCTAAAACTTCCCGACGTCGATTCGTCGTCTACGGTGGTCCAACGGGGTCAAGGTTGGTTGGGTTTTGCTCCTGGGATGATGGGCTACAAAGCCCAAGTGGTGGCATCGGCCATCGCTTTGCCGATTTGCCGGAAAATGGAGAAGGGTGGCCGGAGCACCATTGATTTTCGTCAACTTTCGTGGCCTCAAACCTCCACATCCCGTGGTCAATCAAGGTGGTTCTTGGGTGGGTTTTGTAGAGGGGAATGAGAGCTTCAAAATGGTGGTGGTGGCATCGAAAAACTCCACCGGAGTTGGCCGGAATCGGCCTTGGAAAATGGCCACCCGCGGTGGGTGCGGGTGGACGAAAACCCATTTCCTTTTTTTTTTTTTTTTTTTTTTTCTCCTTCTCCCTCCATTTCTGATTGGTCCTCCCTTTAAATACACACTAACCTTGAATAACCGATTTCGAACGTCCGTAACTATACCGTTATAATCCGGACTCGCAAACGGCTTTCGCCTATACGTTCGTACCAATGAGTACTACGAGGATATGCTAAAAGAATAAGTCTCACATCTTTCAAGTCGATGGTCAACGGAAGTCAAAGTCCTTGCCTCTAGGGCAATTTCGTAAATTCACGCTTTTAAAATAAAATAAAAACGTAAAATTTGGAACGGGTTGTTACAATCTACCCACCTTAAGAAAATTTCGTCCTCGAAATTTAAAATCATCAGTCCAGTGTAGAATACTCAAATTTAAAGAGATATGTATGTAAATACATACATGAGGAAGGCACAAAGTAATAGCGCCTACATAAAAGAGGATGACATTCCGTCATGATCGGAGTGTAATGACTCTTCTTTCATGCCTCCAAATTCGTACTTTCCTTCTCTTTCA